AACTACTACTATGGAACGCTATAGAACTTGAAGAATACTATCAAAGCCTTGGCCAGCATGTTAAGCATTACATAATGTCTATACATATGAACTTACATTCCAACATCACAGATAATGTCTTGAGTTATCGGTGATAGAAGTAGTTCAGATAGTACTTGAAATGAATGGAGACATGTGTCAGATTCATAAAAATGATCTCCACAACCATATCCACTGAAAACACAAAATATTGATTTATTAAAATTAATGTTATAACATAAACTGCATACATATGTCTCATAATAAATTCACATTAAAATACAATTAGGTCATTAGGCCAAATGATTTATTGAGTAGATTCTTCAATAATAACTCATTTGTGATTCATGATGATTTAAGGTAGCGAGAAGGGTTTGGTGACATTTTTGAAAAAAACATTCTCTGTCTGTTGTCTCATTCAGAACCTTAATTTAGCTTATATATTTCAAAAGACTAAGTATAGAGGGACAAGTTCGCACAAACTGGATAGTCATTGTTTACATAATTACCACGTGACATCAAAAATGGCGAACCTTGTAAAAATGACTAAGTCCGCGATTGCGAGAGCACACTGCGGAATTTCCTGGTGAAATTTACACAAGGCATTGTCAGTAATCAAGTCCATTGAAATGCGTCTTCGATAATCAAAAGACCTATTATTCCGATTTCTATGCAGGTTTGTTTTTTTGTCCTAAAATTATTTCATACCTGACACCTTTAACAGACTATTATTCTGTAACAAAGCATTTCTTTTTCAAAAACCCAGACATATTTCACATCGTCATTATCTTGTGAACAGCCAGTCCGAGTTTGAATGTCCTAGTCCGAACGCACTTGATTTGACGGCGGTCCCAATATGTCATACTCAATCAAAACCTTAACTCGTGAAAAACGCGAAAAACCATTTTGGACAATATAACACTGCAGATTGGCTGCATTATTATAAATATACACTAACAATTGCCAAACTTATTAACCACTGATATCATAGAACTCATAAAGCGTGTCAGATAACGAATAATTTCAAGCGCGAGCGTGAAAATTGAAGAAAACAGCTGGCATTTTGAGTCCCGTACTGCTGGAGCGTTCGGGAGACGTGGCTTCCGTTGTTATGCAAACGAACAACAAGATAAGCCCCTGACAAACATTAATGTCCCACTGTACATGCTGACTGTTTACGAACAAGATAATCCCTCAAGTGCCTCTGATAAGAGATCTAATAACACTATGGTGAAACCAAATGGTCGATGTTCGAAGAAACAATTTGCCACGCCAAAGTGTGACAAGAAGACCATAGCTAGACGCAGCAAAAATCAAAATAAAACAGTCACTACTTTAGTTGCTGCTCGTGAGTTATTGGTAAAAGAAGTACAAGATGCTGGGTGAGTATCGCCCAGTTACGCCATTCTCATGAATAGCACAACTATTACCAATTTTGTTTCGTAAAATATGTATGAAGATTACAGTTTTCAATTGAAACGTTTATGACTATGCGATATCGATGTTACGTTCTTTCGTTTTTATTAGCAAGGATAATTTGTTATGACTACGTTCAGTACTCCAAACAAAGCATGTAACGGGTCAAACTGTGTCTTGGCACTCAACTTTGTTTTATTAATATTGTTTTGTAGGAGGAAAAATAAAAATATTTCACCGAATGCAATCGCAGAACACCGTATATTTACGTCTATGACGAAATCAACCACTTCGTATTTACTGTCCCTATGCCTAAATCAACGCTATAACTTGATGTAATACTTGGTGATAAAAACATCGTTTGTAACTAATATATACATTATTTCTTTTATTTTGCAGTTATGATGGCGTAAAGGTATGTGAATGGATTGAAAACACCGCTAGAGATAGAAAACTAAAAAGGCAATGTCAACGGAAAATTAGATGGCTGTGTTACTGCATATGGACTCACACTCTCTACGCAAGTATTTTATTTCACAATTGTTGCGTTTTCACATAATACTAAATTTAATTACTCGTCAGAAACATGTCATATATGTATGTAGTAAATGTTCTACATTATATCTTAGAATGCGTCTTCGTCAATATATATAATTTGTTTTTTATTACGCAGAAAAAAAGTGTCGGCCCGCCCAATTGTCAGTACACTTGATTATATGTATAAAGGTAACTTTTTTCATCGCGTGTGATTTACTTTTCTGCTGTTATATTATCAATTATACAATGTGCCTCTTAGTAACTATGGCAATTTATTGTTTCATCTTGCAGGATGCATACCCTGTAACCATTCAAGAGTTTTGTACCCTTGTATGTGATAGTATGTTGACGTCGCAGAGTTTCTAAAATGTATCTTTGACATTGATTTTGTTTTCGATATTTAAATTTATGTCTTGTATGTTACCTGACGTTTGCTTTTGATAGAAATAAACAATTACTTGAATATTCAAGCATGTTTGATATGAACTATTGGACTGTAGGTACATAGCCACGACTCTAAATGAATGTTTCCCGGGACTGAGAACAGAGTGATTTCCCAACAAAATCAAAGAAAGCTTAGAAAGAACTCCCATGTGCTGAGAGTATTGGAGACACATTAAATATAATTCGAAATTACTTAGCTGAAAACTAATTATGCAAATCAGAAAATTAATATGACCAGATTTGAGTGTAAAAC